ACGAGCGAGCACCTGCATCCAAACATCACCCCCCTCCCCTCCCCCCCGGGCAGGTAAACTACGCCAGGTGTGACCCAGGTATACCCACGACCCCTGATGCAACTCTCTCACACGTCACAGCTTCTCCCTACAGGTACTAGGAACTGTCTATCTGTCTACCTCAGTTTAATTAATGAGTAGTGGCACAATTCACTTAGTTATTGTACATATTGATTTAAAAGGGGGGTTATTTTGTTATTGTTATGAAGTTAAGTGAATGTAATAATGTTTATGTCGACCTTTCGTGAGGATTATGTATATGCCTGAAGGTCTTGTGTTGCGTTGCGTTGTGTTGTGTTGAGTTGAGTTGAGTTGAGTTTGTGCTGTATTGTGTTGTTCTTTATTCATAATCTTATAGTTTATACCATTAAATATATATTGAGTATATAACCATTTATGAACTTTTATATTCTTGATGAAACACTTCTGAACAACAAACAACTGTAGGTCAATTCTGTAGGCTGCATAACCTTTACACTAGAAATAACAATGTATATTAATTTGTACCAGAAAATATATATAAAATTCTTGGTGTGTATATTATGTTACGTTACCTTAATTGAATTGTTTATAATGAAAGGTTTTCTAGTGTCTGCTGATTTAATTGATTTTTTTTGTTACCTGTAATAAGTGTAATAAATTGTCCGTTCCTGTATTTATAGTGGAGGTGTTACGGGCGCCAGAGATCAGGTTGGCCGGAGCATCACTACTGCCTCCTGACCTCAAGACGACGACCACTAACCAGGGACTTATCGCCGTGCTTCAGTGGGTGAGAAGTTTGTGCCGTAACATTTTAACACTGTGATGAGGAAGGAGTGGGGTAGGAACACTTCAGGAAGAGTTGGAGGAATTGTAGGTGTATTTCTGGAGATAGGGAGAGTGTGTGTGTGTGTGTGTGTGTGTGTGTGTGTGTGTGATCTGTAGGTGTTGTATGGAGGGTGTTTGACATGTGAGTGGAGGGTGTGTGGCCTGTGGGTAGAATGTGCTTGTGTGTAATGGGTGGAGGGTGTGTGAGAATGCCGTAGGTGGTGTTGGTTGGAGGGAGGGAGAAGCATGTAGTGGTGGAGGGAGGGAGAAACATGTAGTGGTGGTGGTGAGAGGTTAGGTAAGCCCCTCCACGACTTGGTCAGGTTCTCACTCAACCATCAGAGTGTGGCCAGGGTCAAGGATTTACTCCGTGTAGTGTGTCGAGGCTGAGTTGTTCCTTGAGTAGGATCACATCACATCATCACCAGTCTACCTTGACAAATTCTTTTTACCAACTCTGATGATAAGACAGATGGATCACCTCAGGATTAGACACCCTAGTTTATTATACTCTAAGATTAATTACCCTACCTATGGATCGATTAGGTTAGATTAGATTAGCGTTAGGGTGGTTAGGTTAGGTTAGGTTAGATTAGATTAGATTAGATTAGATTAGCGTTAGGGTGGTTAATATTCAAGTTAAAGGAGCTGGGATATCAAATCATCAGGTACTATCAGTCAGCTACTGTTAGACGAGTGGTGGGTCGTGTTCCAAGGGTTTGTGGTAAGCCAAGAGTAGTTAGTGAATTGTTTGGTCTTCCTGAGTTGTTTGCGAACACCAGACTACACTCGTGTCTAACTTGGGTGTTGGCGGCAGCTGCTACACCCACGAGGGACAGTCATGAGTACACAGTGTAGTCAGAGTGTTGATAGTGTACACCTGTGTCTCGTCCACACCAGTGTTGTTGTCCCCAGGCCGTGAGAGAGAGAGAGAGAGAGAGAGAGAGAGAGAGAGAGAGAGAGAGAGAGAGAGATATTATAAGGGGGAGGAGATAGGGTAAGAGAGATGAGAGTGAGAGATTTAAAAATGGGGGTTGAGGGAGAAGGAGAGAGAGAGAGAGACACCAGGGTATATAATCGTGGTCCACTTCAGTTTATTGTGTCGAGGACTAACGACCACCACAGTTCACACTAATGGGCCACACAATCACTCGCCCACCAGCGGGATATTTGGTCGAATACATCTTCAAAATTGCCGCTTCAAGACCCGGTGCTGTAATGAGAGGCTCTGGTGGGGGGTGAGGGTGAACAGATTAGGGAGGGTGAGTGGATGGGGGTGAGGAAGCAAGGTGGATATTTATTCAAACACTTTGTCATAAAAGTTTAATTTCATTCATCACTTTAAAATAACAGTACAAGCTCAGATCTCGGGGTTAGTGTACATAATGAGACGTCATCTGTTACACCTGATCTTAATTCAGGAACTGTTGGATAAAAATTTGCACCAATATACAAAACAAAGATAACTGCTGATATAGACGAGAAACTGGTAAGGTCTCAGGGATGACGACTGTACCAGGTGACTCACGAGACCTCTGGTGGGCAGCGGCAGCATCCGGTAAACACATTCGCGGAGGTTCAGCTGCTGGGTGTGAACTTGGCGCCAGAGATAAATAAAATAAAAACATATCCATTCATGAGTCTGTGATATTTTGACACCATTTTGAGATAGTAGTCACAAACATAACAATACGTCCTTCTACACACACACACCTGATTCTGAACTATTTGTCTTCCCATAGATGACGCTGCAGTCTCTCGTAGTACAGAGTGGGACAGGAGTGTTACGAATCTGTTGTTCATGACCACGAGAGAACACACCTGTTTACCGCAGCGCCTGACTCGCCTTCTCTCGTTACTGTGTCCACCAGGTGAGTACCACAATGTGAATCACTAATTTAAATGTTTACTTTTTGATAGTTTGACCCCATCTTTGTACCTTAGGTTAAATGAGCCAGTTAAATGCGTTCTCACGTCTCTAGTTAGGAAACAAATAATGACTTGGGATCCTCTGAGACTTGACTGGTAAAGTTTGGTTCATGGGAGAGTCACTGTGAGGCCTCAACACCGCTCGGCTGAGGTGGATGAAGATGGTGTTTAATTCGATACTGAAATTGAAAACTGTTTTAGTAGAAAGTTAAAGCTACACATTATACATTACTGATAAGAGAAAATTACTGAGCCTTTTCAGAGCCGTAGATAAAGTATTTCCTACTAGTCACTTAAAAAGTTCCTTACCGACACAAAAATCTTGGAGGTTCAGATTACGTTTTGCCGTTGGAAGTAAACACACCTGCTGAGACAATAACTTACCTGTCATTAATTAGTAAAATACCTAACAACGTCAACGGAATCACCTGGAATTAAGAATATTGGTGTTAATTTACCAGTGTGGCGGCGCGACTCACTTGGCAACTATCACTTGTAAGATCTGTAGTAGTTAGTTGGGTCGCTTAAAGTGGCCGGAACTTAGTCAATAGGTCAATTGTGGCGTCTTGTGGGTCCATCCTGCCTGTAGGAGTGTTAACAGTGGCTTGGTGCTGGAGGGAGATGTGGTGATGATGGTGATATGATGTGATGATGACGATAGTGGTGTAATGGTAATGAGTATGATGATGATTAATGAGGATTGTGATTATGATAATTGTGGTGAAGATGAAGACGAGGAGGATATGGTACCTTGGAGAGGGAGGAAACTAGCCAGAGGTCAGGCAGGTTGGCTAGGGTCGTCACCTGAGCCATAGGGGCCTCCGTCAGGTACCTGAGGGAGGCGATAATCAATGGTTATGGTTCACCTGCCTAGTGAGGGTGGAGGGGAGGTCTAGTAAAGGCTAGTGAGGGCTAGTGGTGGGATTCTGTGGTGTATTGGGAGTCTTGGGCGAGTCTGTCTTTTGTGTAGGGGGGGGTAGATGTCCCACCATAAAATTAACCCTTCCCTCGCCTCAGCCTTCCTTCTATCCCCCCTACCTTCCTTCCTCTCTTTCTCTCACCTTCCCTTCCCTCAACCTACCTTCTCTGATCTCCCCCCCCCCTTTACTTTCCTTCCTCCCATTACCTCGCCCTTCCTTTCCTCCCTCCCACCCTTCCTTCCTTCCTTCCTTCCTCCGTCTCCCCTCACCCTGCACCTTCCCTTCCCAACTCTCTTCTTTCCTCCCCTTTCCCCAACCTTCCATTCCAACCCTTCCTTTACCCCGCCTTCCCTCCCTCCACACGACACACCACCACCTCCTCCTCCTCCTCCTCCTCCTGGGGTCACCTGTCGACGGACGTGAGTGGGGTGCGTCAAGGTGTCCCAGAGTTCCTGCCTACTGAGCAACTTTGACTTTCTCCAGGATAAACTTACCTTCTCTCGTGACTCTGCGTGTTGTCTGAGTCGTCTTCTGCCTCGTCTCTGTTTTGCATTTTTTCTTTACGTTATTTATATCCCAGAATCGTGTGCTGTTGTGTCTGTCACGTCCGTTCATCTGTTTTTTTTTTTTATTTACACTATGACTGGATGAGATGGAGGAATGTGATTGAAATTTGGCGAGAACATTGATTATCCAGAAGAGTTGAGATTCATTTAAGATAGACGTTATTCCTTTGTTTTAACCATGTTGATAATATCGAAGGTCAGTTGGTAGCTCAATAAACTTAAGAATGTTTCAGAGACTAAAACAAAAAAGCATCGTGTGAAGAAGATACGTCCAGTGTTGCCAGTGACTTAAAGAATTGGTTCATTTAGTCGACTTCAAATGTTTTACCTTTCGTGGGCGTTTTTGTTTGTGTGTTGGTGGAGGTTTGTGGAGACCATGATGAAGATGACTTTAAACCCCTTGAGGACGATGACTTTAACCTCTTGAGTGCGATGGCTTAACACCTTCAGTACGATGACTTAACACCTTCAGTACGATGACTTAACACCTTCAGCACGGTGACTTAACACCTTCAGCACGGTGACTTAGCACTTCAGTACCTCAGTATTTAAGCCCGTAGAGGAGAGAAGAGCGAGAGTCTGCTAAACGAGGAATAACAAGACAGAGAGAGAGAATGAATGATGGAAAAAGGTGGGATGGAAGGAGGGGGAGAGGGACGGAGGAAGGGAGATAGGAGTGAGAGAGGGAGAGAAGTCATTAGGAACGCGGGAGGTAGCTGACGCAGGTGTCTCAGAAGGAACAGAAGGTAACGTAAAGAAAAAAGTGAGGTGACCGCAAGGGATAAATGCGGAAAGGAAAGTGAGAGTTGGTGAGACAAGGAGGGAGAGGGAAGGAGGGAGAGGGGGGGATAGAAGGAGAGGAGGGAGGGAGAGGAGGAGGTTGTTGACTCAGCAGGGGTCGAGGAAGAGATGTGTGTGTGTGTGTGTGTGTCGTGTGTGAGAGAGACAGGACCTACCACCACCCACGCCTCCTACAGGAAGAAGAGGAGGTTTAAAAGATTTCTAAAGCTGTCAGGTCTTGTACTGCCTTATAGTGGTGGTGTGTGTGTAGTGTAGTGTGGTGTGTGGTGGGTTGTGGTGTAGTGTGGTGTATGTGTAGTGTATTGTGGTGTTGGTGATGGTGTGTGGTTGGTTGTGAGTGGTTCTGGAGTGTGGTGGTGGTGGTGTTGTGGATGATAAACGCCGCCTGGGTGCTGGGATACGAACTCTAGTCCTAAAAGTTGTTGACATACTGAGCCGCCCCGCATAGACACCTCCCCTTCCTTCTACATCACTTTTGACCCCACCCCACCCCACCTCACCCCACCCCACCCCACCCCACCCCCATACACCTGGAGCAGCGTCTGTAGTTCACATCCGCCAGACACACGTTAACTAGCGACACTGGTGGAGCCATCTTGAGTGTGACCCCTATAGGCCTCCATGCAGGAAGTATCACGAGGGTCAAGTACAGGTAGTGTGGGAGGCTACTGAGAAGAGCTTTTCACGGTAACGTTGGCTGGGGATGTAGCGAGAGTCTGGTTGGTAAATCATCAACTTGAAAACTGACGAGAGAGAGACAGAGAGAGGCGTGTAAGGGGAGATGGATGGTCGTTCTGCTGTGAAATAAAATATACACGCCTTCTGTAGCCTGTAGAAGTCAGCAGCACCTCCAGTTAAGTCTTGTTCTAAACGGCTGATGGACGGTCTCGTGTTAGATACCTACAAATATCAACAGATTCGGTTGGTTGAATCCTTGGAACTGGTCTGTGTGTGTGTGTGTGTGTGTGTGTGTGTGTGTGTGTGTGTGTGTGTGTGTGTGTGTGTGTGTGTGTTCCCTTGCCACCCTCGTAATCCCTCTGTATCCCCCCACACCACACTCTCCCACACCACACTCTCCCACATCACACTCCCCCACACCACTCTCCCACACCACCCTCTCCCACACCACACTCTCCTCTCCTCACCCTCTCTCCCACACCACACTCTCCCACACCACACTCTCCCACATCACACTCCCCCACACCACTCTCCCACACCACCCTCTCCCACCCTGCTCCTCCCCACCTACTGACCCCCTGCCACATAATTACAATTTCTTCGCTAAAATTAACGCAGTAAATCGAATTAAGAGACTGGGAGGCTACTACAGTTGCCGGGTGTGCCAGGCTACTCGACCAGTGGCCTCGGTAGTGCCATTAAAAGTAGCAACAGTGCCAGTAACAAAAGTAGACAGTAGTAGTGGTAGTAGTTATTAGTGTTAGTAGTAGACTAGTAGTTGTCGTTTATTGTGGCCTTCAACCTCCCCTCACAGCCATACCTAACCTAACCTAACCTAACCTAACCTAACCTAACCTAACCTAATACAAAAGTACCTACCTTAGTTAAGTCGCAGATCTATACGGCATTTGGTAACAACTGCTACTACTTCTATTATTATTACAAATAGTTAGTAATAGAGGAAATTGTTAACTGGTGATAGGAAAAGTAGCAGTAACAATAGCACCATCAACAGTAGCACCACCAGTAGCATCAGTAGCTCAAGTAAGTCTCTCTGACCATCAAACCACAATACCGCGAGGAGAGAAAATGGATTTGACAGGACAGTATTACATGACGCAGGTGACAGCTGGCGACGCGCGAGGCATTTGTCTTCCTAGTGGTGTTCGTGAGGCCAAAATCCGGATTCTCATAAACTTTTCTCCAATGAATATTTCTCGTAAGTGAAGATTTGAGAATGTAATTAACTGTTTACCTTAAGATAAAACACGAAAATAACCTTTTAAAAATATCATTCAGACTCTTAACTAGATAGGTTCACTTAACACTTAGATATTAGTAAGTTGTAGGATCTTCTCTCTTTACTGGTGCTAAGTGAACGTATCTAGATATTATATATTTTTTGTATCTTTTATCGTAAGTCAACAAGTTAAGGTACATTTCTTAAAATTTTAGTTACGAGGAATTTTTATCGTACGAACTTTAGTGATTCCGATTCGTTGTAGAATGTTCGTGTGTTGATGGTCGTCCCGGGAGTAGAAATCTCAGGTTGATGGGGTTAATTGAGGAGGGTGACGGGGAAGTGTGTAAGGGGCTTGGTCTTGACGGGGTTGATCAGGAGGGTGGGGTCTTGACGGGGTTGATCAGGAGGGTGGGGTCTTGACGGGGTTGATCAGGAGGGTGGGTCTGACGGGGTTGATCAGGGTGGACGGGGTTGATCAGGAGGGTGGGGTCTTGACGGGGTTGATCAGGAGGGTGGGGTCTTGACGGGGTTGATCAGGAGGGTGGGGTCTTGACGGGGTTGATCAGGAGGGTGGGTCTTGAAGTAGGGGGTTTTAAGGTGTTCGCGTCTGTGTAATATAATATCTAACAGGCAGCTGAGACGGACCATAGGCGGAACAATGTCAAGAATGTGTCGTAGAGTTGAATAAAAAAAAAAGGAAGAGCAGTGTTGGCGAGTCAGGGATACATTTCTGCCCTCCTCCACTCCCCCATCCTAACCCCTGACTCTTTTCCCCATCCCTTCCTCTCCCCCACCTTATCCCTCCCCATGACCACTGTGGGCTACGTAACACTCCTGAAGGTGGAGATGATATGAAGTTTTAATGTGTGGGTAGTGTGGGCGATGCTGAAGCTGGTGACGCGAACTAGATACCCACTCGACCGCCTCAATTCCCCATTTTTAAACCGATATTCTCCTACTCATAGACGGTGAATACGCTCCTCCCGCCCTCATGGTGCTCCTCCCGCCCTCATGGTGCTCCTCCCGCCCTCATGGTGCTCCTCCCGCCACTAATACTGTGACAGGAGGTTCAGGGATGATGTTTGTCTTCACTTTACAACCTAACCTCCCCGTCTCCTCTCACAGCACCCCATTCACGGACCTCCACCTTCCCTCCCTCGCTCCCTTTTTCTTTCCCCCATCCTTCTTTTCCTCCCCGCCTTCCCTCCCCTCCTTTTTGGATAAAGAGGGGCCTGAAAGAAGGGTAATGGTGGAGGAAGGGTGTTTGATAGTTCTGAAATCGAAGAAGTGAAGGAGATAATAGTTAGCTGACCTTGCTTCTGACTAGCTAAGCTGGTGGGGTGAGTAAGCGTGTAAACGTTTGCATTGGGCTGGTTATTGTAGCTAGTTTAGAGCGGTTTGTCTGGTTGGCTGCCCGCATTGTCGGCACTGGCACTAGATAACCGACCTTGTCCCATATTTAGTGTTTTAAAACTAAGGTTCTGGTCTTGGGAGGTTGTCTATTGCCTGCTGTTGAATGGACTCCTTGAGATTCCACAACTCTTCCGGGGACCATCTATGTTCGTGTCATTCTCTGGTGGGAATCTTTGTAAAGGTCCTTGCTCGTCTCGCTCTATATTTTCGCCCAAATTACTCTTCCTAAGGTGTGTAAATGCTGGTTAATAAGTCTTAATCCTATATCCATGTACTATTTCGACTGTGGTTTTGTTATTAGGGAGGTGTCTCAGGGCTTTATTCTGGACCACCTGTATTTGTAGTATTTGGTTGGCGTTCATAGTGGTGCCTGCTGGGTAGGTTAATATCTATGTGGGAAAATGATTGAACCAGGCGGAGTTTTATTTCCCCGGGCAGAGCTTTGTATACAGCGGTTTCCATGATTCAATTCCCTCTTTGTTGGTACCTCCCTGGTGAGGACGGGGGGCGGTAGTGTGATGTGGATATGCTGTTGGTAGCCAGTAGTTGGGTTTTGCTGCTACACAAGGTTATGTCTGTGTATTTGGTGAGTCTGGTAGGTGTTTTCTTTACCTCTTTCTCTCACCACCACCACCCCCCTCCCCATCCCTCTCCCCTTCCCTCCCTTACGATCCACTACCCTATACCACCTGCTCCACCACCCCATCCACCTGCTCAACCACCCTATCCACCTCCTCCACCACCCTATCCACCTCCTCCACCACCTGCTGTGATCCCACCCTAACCTCTTGAACACCTCTCTCCCTTTCTCCCTCCCTTACCAATCCTCCTTTCGCCCCCCCTCTCCTTACCAGCAATCCTCCTCTCCTTCCCACCAGACACCATACCCAGCCATATATATATCGCAAGACCCAAAACAAATGACAAACGAGGAATTCTTAAGACATTTACGACTATGTTTCCAGTAAGAAAGAAACAATGGCATAAATTTTCTATAATCGTCCAGGTCTTTTACGTGTTGTTGGAAGGAAGACACCGGGGATTTTGTGTTATTGTGATGCGTCATTGTTTTGGGAGGATTCATAAGTTACTCGTAAATAAAGGTTTAAACAGGGTGGTGGGTATGAGTGGATAGTATCCTTGCGTGTGGGTATTTTTATATATTTTTTTTCTTTTTTTGGGAGGTTGAGGATATTTTTATGTGTGGATATATGTCAAGGGATTTGGGTTTGTTTTGTGTGGATATTTTTTGGGGGGTTTAAGGTAATTGTGTGGGTATTTTAAAGGTTCGAATGCCTTAGTGTATGTGTGTGTGGATATCTTTTAAGGATTTTAGTCTGTGTGTGTTTGGGAAGACACACACACACACACACACTGACAGGATTCTTGTACTTGTGTGTGTGTGTGTGTGTGTGTGTGTGTGTGTGTGTGTGTGTGTGTGTGTGTGTGTGTGTGTGTGTGTGTGTGTGTGTGTGTGTGTGTGTGTGCTGATGCAGTTGTAAACACACACAGACGGACTGACAGACGACTGATCGATACTCACCCCCCACTGGCCGCTGTAACAAGGGCGAGGCAGAAGCAGTGTGAACAGCGGTGCGTAATAGGCTCGTTCCGGACCATTTGAGGTCATAATTTGGTCTAACACCGAAAGGTCGTAAAGGCTGACGGAGGGAGGGAGGGAGAGAGGAAAGATGGAAGAGAGAGGAAGATGGAAATGTAGGTAGGGGACGAAGAAGAGGGATGGAGGGAACGGAGGAGGAAGAGATATGGTGGGAGGGGAAGAGGAAGATAGAGGTAGAGGAGGGGAGGAAGAAGATGAATGGAGGGAAGGGGGGCAGGAAAGTAGAAGGATTTTATGGAGGAGGAAAGAGATGAAAGGACGGAAGAGGGAGAGGAAGGCGAGAGGGAGGTGGAGAGGGGTGAAGAAAGAGAGGGAGATCGAGGGGCTGAAGAGAATGGCACTGGAGTGAAGAATTGGACCGCGGTAGATTGAGGATCTGGAGGGACGGTGGGAGGGAGGGAGGGAGAAAAGTAAAGAAGGAAAGGAGGAGAGAGGAAGGGAAGGAAGGAGAAAAGAAAAGAGAAGATGCGTTGATAGTTGGAGAGAGGGATTATGAGGAGGAGTACGTTAGGGGATGGAGTGGGGATGAGAGGGAAGGAAAGAGGGATGCAAGGCTGTAAAGTGAGGGCAAGAAAGACGGAAAGGAGGGAGAGGAGAGGGGGAAGAGAGAGAGAGATTGCGTGTGTGTGTGTGTGTGTATCGATGAATGAGGCATCAAGGAGGGTGTGTGAGGGAGGGAGATGTGTGAGAGGGTGGACAGGGAAATATGGAATGCGGAAGGTCAGAAAGGGAGTGTGTGTGAGAGAGGGGAGAATATGCGTAAGGGAAGGGAGAGTGTGTGGGGGAGGGAGGGAACGGGAGTGTGTGTGTGTGTGTGTGTGTGTGTGTGTGTGAAGGGAGTATGTTTCCCTTCACTGCTGCGCCGCCGCTATCACCATCACAACCATGACATCCAGTACTACCACCACCACCAACAACAACAACAACAACAACAACAACTATCGCCAATCATGACACTATCACCACCATTACCATCATCACCTCGTCACCATTACTACCATCACCACCATCTCCATGCTACAATCACTTCCCCATCACTTCCGATCACCACCACCACCATTTCGCTAGTCAGGGGGGCGGGAGGGGTTGGAGTTAATACTGTGGACGGAGATAAGGGGGGGTGTGGTGTGTGTGGGGGTGGAAGGGGAGGAGGATGGGGGGGTGAAGTGGGTAGTAAGATTAGTGTGTTGGGGGGGTAGAGTGAAGGAAGGAAGTAGGGGGGGGAGGGTGACAAATGGGGGTGGGGTGGGAGGTGTAGTAGGCAAGACCAATATTCTCACCATTAACAGCAGCTGACCCATAAATTACCCCCACCACCACCCCCATCTACTAACAACCTCCCCTCATCCACTGACAACGTCTCACCTTACTCCCTTCATCCACTGACAACCCCTTCCCCTTACCTCCTCATCCACTAACAACCACCTCCCCTCACCCCCCTCCTCCCCCTCACCTCCTTCTCGATACATCTCCCCTGGTAAAGAGTCATGACGTTAAAAATGGGTCGGAATCTTGCAAGTCCAAAGAGGAGAGAGAAAATTTGCAAGTCAGTAATTCTTGTGTGTTTTTCTTCCATCAGCCATGTCAAGCCAAACACGTTTTAGGGACGACTGTGTGGGCCGCCGGTGACTCGCTCTCTTGACAGTCCAAACAGTGTGCCGTGTTTTCCCTTACTGCTGTGTGCTCTTTGTTCTACACGTGTATAAAAACAGCAGCTGATGGAAGTATAAAAGATGTGATGGCGACTATGTGTGTGTGTGTCGGGGAGCTCTGGGATAACATGTGGGTTTTTTTTAGCAGGTTTAAGAAAATTTTTGCTCTTTGTAGTTAATGTAGTAATGTCTTCAGTACACACAGCTCAGGGATCAATATAGCACCATATTTGAACAAATAAAATATTCCCTTAAAGTTCCACCTTTGAAAATTATTACAAAGTTTTAGACACAAAACTCTGCCGCCCTCAGCTCTCTGCACTACAAAATATAACAAATGTCTCTTCTTGTGTACCAAGTTACGCCTCGGTGTGTGTCTGTGTTCGGGTCTTTCACACTTAGTTTTTGAATACACGTCAACATTGTGGAGACTAATGGGCCAAGTTCTCCCTTTCCAGCAGTGTATTTTAGTTAGATTATTTCCGTGTTGTGAGATTAGGGCCAGCGAGAAATGAGAACTCGGGCGCTCAAAGTCATTTACCATTATTCAATATTGCTGTGTTTCATCCTGAGATCTCAAAAGTCCCAGACATGTCAGTATTATTACTATTATACAGTTTACATCTGTAACTTTCTGGCTAAATTAACCATTCCGATTTCAGTTTGTGATATGCAGCAGCCAATCAGTTGCCGAAGCTCCCTTACTGAAGCGCCGCGACACGGCCAAAACAAGAGCTACGGAGCAAAACATCTAGCTGATTCTGTCGATTCTGTAAGTAAAGTCCCCTCCACTAGTGCGTTTACAGGGGCTCGTCAGATTTGCGCAGTGTGGCACAGGAAACTCGCAATAGTAAACAGGTAATGAAATCAAAGTAAAACAACATTAAAACAAATTTCTCAATGTATTAATTTATAGAATGCTTATATGACGAGCCCCTGTAAACGCACTAGTGAAGGGGGACTGTACACAATGGAATAGTCTATACCTGGTAGATATTGAGACCCACAACTACGTGGTCACGGTGTGTAGGTGAGAAGTATTAGTGAAGGATGTGTGTAGGAAGAGATGAAGGGAAGGAAGGAGGAAGAGATGGAGAGAAGGAAGGAGAAAGAGACGGAGGGAAGGAAGGAGGAAGAGACTGGAGGGAAGGAAGGAGGAAGAGACGGAGGGAAGGAAGGAGAAGAGACTGAGGGAAGGAAGAGAGAGAGAGAGAGAGAGGGGTACGGGATGTTATGTAAACCATATCATAAGGTGGCCGTTCAACACGTTCTCACACACATATAAGGCGAGTTATACATAATTAGTTTTGGCCTGAAATGACCCCACTGTCACGAGTCCTTAGCTGGGATATTGGTGGGTTCACTGGAGCCCATGTAAATCCAGGCATATTATATAGTCTCGTATAAGTTTTTCAAACTGGGGGCCATGGCGGGAAAGTGTAAGTAATCCACCTAGGGCAAAAGTGTGAAGATCTACTTAAACAAGGAAACCTTAAAGCTAGATGTTTGTATTTTTATCAGACAGCCCCTGGGGTCGTTGCCGCCCCTGGATTGGCCCCTCGGGTCGCCGACGCCCCTCGGAGGGCCCCTGTAAGGGCTCCTGCCGCCGTCACTGTCGCACCTGGGAGGGCCCCTGGGGTCGGCACCGCCTTTGAGGTAGCCGATAACCCATGGAGAGCCCCTGGGAGAGCCACTGAGGGCGCAACCGGCCCTGGGAGGTCCCCTGGGGGCGTCGCCGCCACAGGAGGGCCCTTGGGGGCGTCGCCGCCCATGGAGGGCCCCTGGGGTCGTCGCCGCCCCTGGAGGGCCCCTGGGGGCACCACACCTGATAGGGCAAATGGGAGGACCCCTGAGGGCACTGTCCCTGTAAAAGCTCCATGGGGCAGTTGTTTTTGAACTATTTAGAACAATGGGAGATATGACGTTAAATAAATACACCGCCCATCACATTTCCAGTATCATCGCATTATGAACATTGTAAAGGAGAATAAATATCAAACAGGAAAACATAAGTTGGGGTGTTGTGCTGACTGACAGCTCTGTTCTCCTATTGGCTGTAATTTGGTGGATTTACATTTTAGTGTGCTGCAGTATTGGGCCGGCAGTGATAAGTACAGAGTATCTCCTTTCTTATTGTACAGTATATTTCTAGTGGTATAACGTGTAAACCTTGCTCGACTTTTAGAACATCAAGTTTGGTATTATATGTGAGATTGTTGTTAATCATATTTTAGAGGTTCCCTGAAAAACTTACTTATTTATGAGTTTCGTGTGGTGGATAGACCACTTGTTATGGTAGTTCTAGACTAAATAAGTCTTTACTTTTATGTTCATTATTTTGTCACTCGGTTGAGTCATTTATTTGATCAGATTCAATTTGTATAATTTGTACATAACGATATATTTGTTTTATTGTTTGTTTGTTAATATATTCTATAATAAATCTACATGTATTTCAATATACCCTATAGTAATGAGGCGATGATTTTGGTGGGATTTATTTCTGGACCTATAATACAAAGAAAAAGTTATTTGTGATTTGTTACACCCTAAGAGGCCAAGGGTCGTAACAAAATTGGCGTCCTTGTAGGGTAGATCCTTTATCACTCATTAACTATTGGGAATATTTAGATGTTGAGAGTTTGTTGAGAATCCATCCGTGAAAATGTTGAAAGACTGTGTTTTACGAAGGATAATTGGATGAAACTTGCTGATAAATATGAAATTGAATATCAACATAGTCAAAGGAAGTCTGAAATTCAAATGCAGTTCTAACTGAACTTGTAGATGAAGAAGGTGGTACCGAGGGCACTGACTTTGCGTTCATTTGACCCCAAAGCTGTAGAGATCAGAAAGCTAGAAATGGAACATGAGTTGACTTTGAAGGAAGAGAAGAAAGGGAAAGAAGGCGTGAAAGGCAGCATGAACTACGTGCTGAATTAGCATTAGAAGACAGAGACTTACAGGCATTGTCTTTAGAATCTGAGACAAAATTGTTTGATGTGACAAAACATTTGGGACTTATGCCTGCCTTTGACGAGGAGGATCCGAAGAGTTTTTCATGCAGTTTGAGAAAATTGCAAAGTCTTTTACAGTGGCCTGGAGTCCTGGACTGTTATGATTCAAAGTGTGCTCACCTGGTCAGCCGTTCAGCATTTTGTCTTTGTCAAGTGAGGTTTGTCGTAGTTATAAGTTAGTGAAAGAAGAAATTCTTAAGGGTATGGACTCATTCCTGAAACATATGCAGGTAAGTGGTAGGACCTAGAAAGACTGATTTACAGTCGTATATAGAATTTGTTTATTCATTGAATAAAATGTGTAGAAGGTGGATTAAAGTCTAGCAAGGTAGAAACTTTTGAGAACTTGTTCAGTTGATGATTTTAGAACAATTGTACTTAGGAGAGAGATATTAATGTTCATAGGCTGCTGCATTGGCTGATAGCTGTGCCCTTACTCTAAAAATGCATCCTGTTAAATCTCAAAATCATTCAGGCGGAAAGGGTTTTGTAACCAGAAAAAGTGGTAAGGCAGAATAGGTAGTGCTACTTCTTTTAGTAAAGTAAATTTCGTGGAAACTCAGGTGAGCTTTCCAAGACATATGCCAAGACTCAAGCATTTGTCTGTTTTACTGTGAAACCAGGTCATGTGATTGCAGGTGCCTTCTGGAAGCGAAGGAAAAGTCAGTGCTCTCATTCGGACCTCTGGGGAAGTTTGACAAAACTTTGGTGAGAAATCGCCCACGGAGGATTCTTTTGAACCTTTCATGTTTGATGGTTCAGTTGCAGTTGAAGAATCAGGTGATCAGTACCCTGCGAAGATTTTGCGTGACACTGGTGTCATGATCGTGATGACGGCTAACCTTAAAACCTGAAGGATTCATATTACGCTCAAACGTCACAAAACCTGGGTCCAGTGGAAACGTCCTCCGTTTTCTCTGTTTCCTTGACGTCATCGAAGGCCGTCTTTGTCTGGAAGACTTTGAATATAATCCGCGGATTTCGTGTAAGACGCTGTGTGTTGGGACCTGTTGCCATCCAACCCTTTGTAATCAATTTGATTTTTGCTTTTGATAGCTCAGTCAGAGCATTGTTAGTGAAGATAATATTAGGGAATGAAACTGAGTTCATAGTCTCAGTTCAACGTCAGGTGTACAGTAAGTAATTCATCGAAATAGAAGTAGGTGGAGTCCTGACCTGGTTTGGTGAGGGTGCCGCGGGCATTTCAACCTTTAGTAAGTGCTCGCCCTTCACCCTACAGTGGTAGGTCATTCCACTCCGTGTCGTAATTCGCCCTTCTTTAAGTGATTTGACCCAATTAATAGTTGATAGTGCAAGTGTCACAGTAACGTGATTGATGATTTGCTTTGAGTGAAGTAATATTTACGTCTTTAACGTCCCCTGAAACGTGATGTCGTTGTCACCACTAAAGTGCTCGCCTTCACCCATACAGGTCCCTAACGCAGCCTAGGCCGTTGTCTGTAGCGTGAAGTTGTATCCATTATTCTGGCGAGATGTCCGGGGTCCCTGGGATCAAGTTACCTTCGTGGGACCCAGACCGTCAGACACTTCAGTACTACCTATGGGCCCCATAGCTGGCCCGTCTGACCCTAACGCTCGGCCTCGGTGACCTGATCACCAAGCCACACACAACTTCAACGCCATTGTGGATGAGTGTCTAACTCAGTAGGAGCTATTTGTGTGGTGGTGTTTTCACTGGGGTCTTCAGAGTTCTTTGGGAAGTACCCCCATGGTGGCGAGGCCCCATGGCGGTTGTGAGTATCGCTCCTGACGACTGAGTGTTGTAGTGGCAGTTGCCCTGGTCTTAATGGTGCTAAGTTACTAAAGAGTTTATGTGTTATTGAGTATGTCACCCAGTAGTGGTTTGAGTGTTATTGAGTATGTCACCCAGTAGTTGGGTATATTGAGCCTGAGGGCATAGTACCAGGTTTCGTCTGTTGATACATATATTCTTTCTCCTATCTCATTTTAATGTTTAAATAAATATTGTATTTGTATATTGTGTCTAATTATTTACCTACAGTATCGACCGTTATTTCTTCCTATTACTTGATACTATCATTACATATACCCACGAGCCTCCTCTCGTCACGCTACCAATGGGTGTAAGTATTAAAGTATAAAAATTTTTAAGAGGCACAGGCCATATACTGGTGCTTCTCACAGTG